TTTAGGCTACTTCCACTCTGATGTACAATGTTCTCTCCTAACTCCCTACCCCATCCTAAATAAATTTCAGCCCACTGAGCATTTAAGAGAAAGCAAACAAAAAAACCTAGGGATTTGGGATAAAGTAACACCATTTCTCTAGATCAGCACCTGATTACCCAGTTTAGACCGGAGAGTGTGACCCTAATATAGATGGGACAAGTGGGGGGGGCATTGTGCAGCTTAGGGGTCTCAAGTCTCCTCCAGGAGGCAGGACCCACAGTCTGGTCCCTTCTCTTCTAGTTGCCCGAATGGAAAATTGATGTAGGACAGCTTAGCCCAGGTCAACAAACTTTTATTGCCATTTCTGCCAGATTCCTGACTCTTACACTGTAGAAACGCTGAGTTCTGGTGCAGGGGGATGAGGGTGGAGGGTGTTGCCACTCCTCTGCCAAGTTAAAGAAAACCCACTTGCTGGAGAGGGAGGGTCAGACAGAGAGGAATTCAAGGGCATGTATGGCTTAGGCCGGCTTCTGCCGACTGCAGACTATAGGGACCATGGTTCCAAACTTTTTTGCGATAGGGGTGGAGATGAATTTGGCTGCTGTTGTACCCCTTGCCCTTGCTGCCATGTTTCCATGGAAATGAAGGAGGGGCAGGATGTAGCTCACTCTGAGAGTACCTGGGAGGGTGGCAAGGCAAGCATTTGGTAAACTCTACTCCCATATACAGAGCTGTCCCCATCCAACCCCCAGGCTCACCCCCCTCTGCCTGCTCCACTCCCTTCCCCTCTAGAGCTGGGATTATGCCAACTGGACTCCAAGCAGGGCTGCTAGAGCCTACGCTCCACAGCCAGGTCTCCCTGGCAGTAAACTCTGAGTTTGTCCACCTAGCTCAGGAGCAGCCCTAACAGAGCTGTCTGTTGTGCCTTGGAGAAAGTAGGCAGCTTACAGCTCTCTTCACCACTGCTGCTTCCCACATGCCTCTGCCCAAACAAAACTTAGAACTTAAACTCAAATGTTCAAGGTTAGGAACAGGACAAAATAATTCTCTAACAATGCTGGGACTAGGATGGGGGGATGAGGCACGTCTTTCTGAGACCTGAGCCATCCTGTGGCCTGTCTTCTGGAGTTTGCTTCTTCCCACTGGGCCCTCATTGCTGGGGGGCTGAAATCCAAATCTCCACAGGACACCATTCTCAGCACCCTCTGTTGCTGGTCCATGAGGCTTGCCGTCACTATGGTCAGGCGGCACGAGGAATGCTTCTCAGTACCACGGGTCAGCCCGGTGCTGCTGGTTGTAGAGCTGTAGTTTAATCTGATCTTTTATTTGATTCACGAGGACCTGGGACAGCAGGATTCCCACCAGCTGCCAGGGGCAGAAAGGAATTAGCCCTCAGCAGGGAGTGATTGTCCAGCTTTCCCTTTTCCCTTGCTTTGTCTTCCCCACACAGCAGGCACCCCACCCCATCCCACTTAGCAGCCAACTGAGCCCTGGGTGCCTCCACAAATGACAGTCTGCAGAGTGTGTGAGACTTTCCAGCTGGACAGGGTAAGTTACCTGGGGGATGGCCAGGCCTAGTGCCACACCGCCAAGTAGGAACAGGTTGCTGTGTATCCAGTTGACTAACTTGTCAATACAGCCGTTAGTGTAGATGACTTTACTAGCTTCCAAGTAGTCAAGAGCCTGCATATTTTGGCCACACATAGTGTTGATCACTGCCTGAGGAGGAAAAAGTTGAGAAGCCGAATGGTACTCCCACACCAAGAAACACTAGCCAACTTTCCCAACTCCCTAAGTTGTTAGAGAATGTCTTCGGAGAATACTGGAATAAAAATGGCTAACTGCAGAACTCCTTTCTGAGTCCAATACTCCTCTTTAGAACTGCCTCTTGAGTCCCATGTGGGCTGTGGGATTGAAAGGCCAGTGTGGACACCACAGTGGGGTGAACACAAACAAACACACCTGCCAGCCATCCTGCTCACCAACTGGTTAAGCTAGGGGATAGAGTGTCACCATAACAGCTATGTTACCCAGGAGGAAGTGTAGCAGTGTTTGCTCACCTGATTCGGGGTGGGCAAGCAGCAGGAATAAGGCACAGAGCAACGTTCTCGGCTGGGGTTGTCTTCTGAGCAGTTGAAGTACATATTCTGAGACCAGTCTCTGTAGGAAATCCCTCCACAGCAGCTGAACTGCAACAGAGCGGACCGGAGATTAAGAATCACTGATTCCCCACACGAAGGTTGGCCTGGGGAACTCACCAAGCCTAAGACAAGCCTCTATTTGTAACATCAAGGTATTCTAAACATATCTATGAACTCAGGCTTCTTAGTTGCTTTCACCTGAAGAAATTCTCTCTTTAATTCTTTATGTATCTCATTATAACTTACCTAGTGCTTGATATTCAGGTGTAACCTCTTGAGAGAAGGTTCTGGATTTATAACTCTATAAAGCATAGTCTGACAAAAGAGATGTTCAGTGGCCAGGACTGGGGGTGTTCAGTGACAGAGCATATGCTTAGACTGTGTGACCCCTGGACTCACTTCAGCCCTGCCACGAAAAAAATATTTAAAAAAATCCAAACCAAAAACCTTGGCATAAGAAAAAAAAATTCAAGAAGAGACTCTTCAATATATGAGTCCACAATTACTCCAGGAAAGCAAACTGAATCCTAAAGTCAAAGGCCTGATGGCCAGAGGAAGAGACGCTCAGCACGGGCATCAAAAACACCGCCATTTAAATGTAACATTGATTCATAACCCAGAATAGCCAAAGGTGAAAGCCACTCAAGCGTCCACTCATGGTTGAACGAAATAAGGCAGTCATTCAAAAAAAAAAAAAAAAAAAAAAGGAAATCCTGGTATATCCTACAATATAGATGAAACATAAAGACATGCCAAGTGAAAGAAACCAGTGACAAAAGTATACATATTATATAATAATTCCATTCATCTGAAGTCCCCAAAGTAGCTATATTCAAAGAAACAAAGAAAGTTGAATGGTGGTTGCCTCCAGGAGAGCAAAATGGAAAATAGTTAATGGGCACAGTTCAGCAGGAAAAGATAAAATGATTTTGGAAAGATAAAACGGTTTTAGTTTTTAAATTGTGTGTCTGTATGTGTGGTGTGTGTGTGTGTGTGTGTGTGTCTATGTGCACACACACATGCCATAGTGTGTATGTGAAGATCAGATGACAACTTTTGGGAATTAATTCTTTCCTTCCATGGCAGATCCCTAGAATCAAACTCAGGTTGTCTGTCAGGCTTTTACAGAAAGCACTTTCACCCACTGAGCCATCTCAATACCCTGAGAACAGTTTTCTTTTCTTTTGTTGTTGACATGGGGCGTTCCTGTAGCCAGGCTGGTCTGGAAGTTAGTATGTAGCCAAGTCTGGCTTTGAACTCCCAATCTTCCTGCTTCTATTTCCCTAGCACAAGGGATAGTGTGCAGTGCCACACAGGCAATAAATGGTGGTGATGGCTTCATACAAAGAGATTCCTTTCCCTCCCACACTGGGGATTGAACTAGGACCTCATCCATAGCAGATGGGTGCTCTACCACTGAGCTATAATCCCAGGGTCTCACAAATTACTCAGGCTGTCCTTGAACTCACTCTATAGCCAGGCAAGGTCTTGAGCTCTTGATCCTTCTGTTTTAGCCTCCCAAACAGGGAGGATTACAAATTGTATCAACACATCCAGCTAATGTAAATATTTTTAATACATAAATGGTATTAAAATGGTAAATTCTGGGTTGTGGGTACATGATATTCAAGGCTCTGAGTTCTATTTCTAGTTTCACAAAGCCAAGAAAAAGAAAACAAAATGGTACTTTTTTGTTATACATATTTGGCCACAATTTTTAACGTAATATACAATAAAATATGATAGTTCCTCATTCCCCTACAGGTAACCCCTTACAATGGTTTCTTAAAAATTCCTCCAGAATCCTTTTGTAAATGAGATGACAGTCTCCCCTTCTCCTTTCTTTGCATACGCAGCAGATTATGAATACTGTACGTACCGTTCTATACCCTTAACAGCACCTGTTTCTCCCGCAAAGCCCTTCCCGGAATATATTACTTAGCAAGTAAAAGAAGTCCACAAGCCTACAGAGTGAGGCATTTCTTGGACAACCTTAACTTTTAACCTCTACCCCCACCCCTCGCCAGGACATTGGATGACCACACTATGCTTGGTACCTTCTTCTGGCCAAAGTCAATGAGGTTCTGCAGGTCCAGGTCATCCCGATAATGCACAATTGCATTGTTGATTAATTCACTCACTTTCCCCCGAGCCTGCCAGATACACAGAGAGGCAATCAGGACACAAGATTAACCCATAATTTATTAACTCCCTCAGAAATGACAGCAAACACAGATCACCATTTGTGGTGGTTTGAGTATGTCCCCCATAGTCTCAGATGTTTCAATACTTATCCCTAGTTGGTGGCACTGTTCTGGGAGATGTATGTGGTGTGGCTTTGTTGAATGAAGTTTATCCCTGGGGGTGGGCTTTGAAGTTTAAAAGCCTCAAACCATTCCCAGTGCACTGTCTGTTTGCTCCTGGTGGTTCGAGATGTAAGTCTACATCATCTTACTTCTGTCACCAAGCCTGTTGCTTGCTGCCATGTCTCCCTGCCATAACAGACTCCTATCTCTCTGGGTCTATGAGCTCAAATAAACCTCCCCTAAGCTGCCTTGGTCGTGGGGCTTTGTTTTGTTTTGTTTTGTTTTGTTTTGTTTGTTTGTTTGTTGTTGGTTTTTTGAGACAGGGTTTCTCTGTGTAGCTTTGGAGCCTATCCAGGCACTCGCTCTGGAGACCAGGCTGGCCCCAAACTCACAGAGATCTGCTTGCCTCTGCCTCCCTAGTGCTGGGATTAAAGGCGTGTGTCACCAATGCCCAGCTTGGTCGTGGGGTCTTATCACAGCAACAGGAAAGCAATTACTACTCCATTGTTTAGTCTTTTTGCTCTCCTTTTCAGAGCTCTCTATGTTTTATGACCACAGCACAATAGGTAGGAGGCAGAAGGGTACCTGCCATAGATACTGCAGTGTGATCAGAGGCCCAGGGTATCTCTCCCACTCTTATGCCATGCCCCAGCAGATCAGCACAGGCCTGGGCTCTCCCATCCCACTCTGGCAATATACCAACAGCCACTTTAAGTTAGTGAGGCTAAATGGCCCTACCTAAGCACCAACTCCCTCTTTTCCAGCAAACCTATTCATTGACAGCATCTCCTACTCTGGCCTCCTTTCTTATACTCTGGGTGTATCTAACACATCCTGTAGGCCATTAACTCACTATGAGTGTCCTTCTGTCACCAATGCATTTTGTATTTCACCATTCAAAGGCCTTAGGTTTAATGAGAAGTCCTGTGTGCTTTGGTGACTAAGACCATTCTAAGCCTCCAGTCCTTGTTCACAATGGGATGAAGAGGGAGAGCCTGATTACCATAGATAAAACTCATGTTCTTTCCTCTTTAACAGCAAAACGACAAAGCCTAATTAAGAGTCCTGGGTCACTAAAAGGTATCAGTGACTAGGCAGTCCCCCAAGAGCTGGGGGAAATCACAGTCTAAAGTTCAAGATTGGAGCAACCACCAAAGGTCATGGTCATATGCCCTCAGATCATCTTTCATCTGAATCAGCCTTGAAATCAGACCTACCAAGGGAAGACAGCTGGTTGGTTCAAGGCCCATCCACTCTGGGGCTCAAGGAACAGTGGGCAAGGGAAACATCGATCCTGTGTCATTGCTTCTCAGAACTATCTTTCAAAACAACGCAGTGTTTATCTACCTCTGCATATCAGTACCTCAAAATATTTATTGACTCGTACAGTTAAGAATCAAATTTTGTTTTATTTTAGAAGAAAGGGGCTTACTGACCCCTAGTGGACACAAGAAAATTGCATCTCCTTAGACTTGATACATCTACTTTATTAAGCTGGAAGGAAGGGCTTGTCAACTTCAAATCAACTCAGCAGTGTTCAGTTTCATAATTTTGTACCATGGTCTCTTTATACTCAGCCACTTTTCCTATGGTTTTTGTGTGTTTGTGTGATTGTTTGTTGAAACAGGGTTTCTCTGTGTAGCCCTAGATATCCTAGAACTCATTATGTAGCCTAGGAATGTAGACTGCACTGGGACTCAGAGATCCACCGGCACCACCACACCTGGCTTCTTTCCCTAGGACTTTATTTCAAAGTCTTGTACTTCATTCCTGGTAACTATCTGTCATTTGAGAATGGAATTCTGGTTCATTCCCTACCCTACCCGGCCCCATTTTTTGTTTTGTTCCTGAGACGGGGTCTTGTTAGATAGCTCAGGCTGTCCTCAGACTCACAGAGATCCACCTGCCTCTGCCTCCTGAGTGCTGGGACTAAAGGTGTGTGCCACCGGGCCTGGCCACATTTTTCTTCCTTTACTTGAAAAGACCAATTTCTCACTGTGTAGCCCCAGCAGGCCTGGAACTCACTATATAGGCAATACTGGCCTCAAACTCATGGAGATCCCCCTGCCTCTGGCTTCCCAGTGCTGGGATTAAAGGAAAGTCTGGTTCTTAGTCAGGACAGCTGCCTCAAGGCAGCCCACCTCCAGGTGTGGGAACGGGTTCAGAACAGGGTTTTCCTTCCCTCTGCTCATATATCTACTTCAACAAACAGTTCTAAGAGTCTCTTCAGGTTGTCTGTGGTCTTGATCACTGAGTTCTACTTGGTCATCTACCATCCAGGTTTGCAGTTATTTTAATGTTTCTCATGTTTATAAAATTCTCTTCCCCGGTAGCATCTCAGGGTGTCAAAGGGAGACACTTACAGCCATGAAAGTCTCTTTAAACAGGCTGCTGTTAAGGCCATTCATTTCTTCACCCCTAAGGGGACCGTTTCAAAGGCTGGTGCTTCCCAGGGGAAAGAGTACTGTGGTTAATTAGTCAGGAGTAGGAACTTCCCCTTCCTCCCTCTGGTACTGAAGAGGCCTCTAGGCTCCCAGTGTTACCTTGTCTGAGAAGACGAAGCCCAGGATGCCAGCAGCCAGCTGAAGCAGGAACACGATGGTGAGGCAGAGGGAGAACTGTGGCCCACGGGCAAGACAAAGAGACAGGCGTCACGGCTCAGGGAGGCAGCCCTTCCCAGGGCCAAGGAGAGCACCGAGAGGCAGCTAGGCTCTTCTCCAAGCACCCCCAGCATAGCAAAGGTAAGGATGTGGCATTGCCACCCTGTGCTGGGGAGCCCGGAGCAGAGCTCTGCAGTGAGGCGTGGCCAGCACTTAGCGGGTAGGATGGGACGGAACAGAATGGGACAGCTATATGAGGCACAGGGGTCCGGCAGGCACGAGGAAGAGGTCAGACAGCGAGGCCTGCTCACTCACCGTCTGCAGCAGGCAGATGTTCTCCCGAAGGGATCCGATACAGCCGCAGAAGGTGAGAAGGAACATGAGGACACCCACTACGATCAGCAGGATGGCAGGGTCCACCGCCAGACAAGCCAAGGCTGCTTCTGGGAGAGAGGCCGACCCTCAGCTGGGGTCCAGGGCCCTGGGGGGGGGGCGGCTCCTGGAATGGGTGGGGGTGTGCCCAAACTGCTTTTCCTGTACTAGGGGAGTCTCCTTGCCTGGTGAAGATTATGAGAAAGCGAGCCGGTCCTCACAGGGAGGAACAGAAAGTGGGCTGGGGGAGTCCTGGCATGCAACTGGAGGAACTAGGGGAAAGCCTTTACTCCAAGCTCGTGAGAGGAGGGTCACTGTCACTCAGAGAAGAAGCAGAATGACAGTGGGCTCACTAACTGGGTGGATTCCTAGAGACTGCAGAGGAATTCAGCCTGAGTTACTTAGGGGTTGCTGGCTAGGGAGGGCAGAGTCCTTGACCGCTCTTTGCTTCCACAAACACAGCCTCTCTCCTGGACTTAGTCTCAAAGGTAGGCAGATCTTAGGAGAGGGGAGGTGTGTGTGTGTGTGTGTGTGTGTGTGTGTGTGTGTGTGTGTGTGTTCAGGAAAGCCAGTCTGAAGCGACCCAGTAAGACTGGATTCAGGGAGCTGCTTCTCCAGCCTCAGTCCAAGCAGGGCACAGAGAGAGTGTGGGAGGCAAAGGGAGACCTATCACCCACCTGCATGCTTCATCAGCCTGGCATAGACACCCACAGCCACCATGACCATGGAAATTACCTGTGGGGACAGTCAAGGAGTCAGATTGAGACTTTGAAGATGAGAGGCTCTGGACACAATGAAACACTGTCTTTGAGGGCAGGGGAGGAAGGCTTTCCCAGGGTCCAGGTGCAGTGTCTCTTACACACCCCCAGTGACAATGTGAATGCTTCATTACCTTCAGGAGAAAGTTCCCTGTATTGTCTCCTTTATTCTCTATAACACGATTATCTTGTGAGACGGGTAGTATCCCCATTTCACAGATGGAAAAATTAAGATAGTACAAGTTTTATATAGAACAGAACAGTGGTTAAAAATACAAGCTTCCAGCTGGGCGGTGGTGACACACACCTTTAATCCCAGCACGTGGGAAGCAGAGGCAGGCAGATCTCTGTGAGTTTGATGCCAGCCTGGCCTACAGAGTGAGTTCCAGGGGCTGGAGAGATGGCTCAGAGGTTAAGAGCACCGACTGCTCTTCGAGAGGGCCTGAGTTCAATTCCCAGCAACCACGTGGTGGCTCACAACCATCCGTTATGAGATCTGGTGCCCTCTTCTGGTGTGCAGATATACACGGAAGCAGAATGTTGTATACATAATCAATAAATAAAGTCTTTAAAAAAAAAAAAAGTGAGTTCCAGCACAGCCAGAGCTACATACACAGAGAAACCCTGTCTCGAAAAAACAAAACAAACAAACCACCACAAAACAACAAACAAACCCCACAAGCTTCCAGACAGGTTTGAGGGTATAACCAAGTGCTACAGCGCAAAAGGCCTGGGTTCAACCACAAACATCAAAACTTCACACACACACACACACACACACACACACACACACACACTTAAAACAAAGCATGGCCTTCTGAGAGATTCAGATATTTGGGATACATTTTGGAGTTTCAGTTGGTTTCTGCATGTGAAGCAGGAATTTAGGACAAAGAGCCAGGTGTGATGGCAAATGACAGTTAATCTCAGCACTTAGGAGGTTGAAATGGGGGATCAAGAGTTCGAGGCCAGTCTATGCTACAGTGAAAGAGCCTGCCTCAAAGGAAAAAAAATATTGATTTTTATTTGTGTCTGAGTGTGTCTGTGTGAGTCCACACTGAAGCCAGAAGAGGGCAGAGGAGATCTTTGGATCCCTTGGTGCTAGAATTACAGGTGTTTGTGAAATGCTTAGTGTGGGTGTTGGAATCTAAACTCTGGTGATTCTGAGTTACAGCAACAGGCATTCCTAACCACTGAGAAATCTTGTAACAGAAATTCCTGCCCAGTTCCACAGCCGCAAATGAACACACAGATGCTATACTAATTATGATACTGTTGGCCAGTGACTAGAGCTTCTTATTGACTAGCTCTGTCTTAATTATTAACCCATATCTACTAATGTATGTATGTCCACGTGGTCTTGGCTTGCCTGCTACATCTCGACTGCTCTGGTGGGCTCTCCTGCCTGCCTTTCCCAGATTCTCCTCCTCTCCTAGTCCCGCCTATCTTCCTGCCTCATTGGCCATTGGCCCAACAGTGTTTTATTCATCAACCAATAAGAGAAACATAAAAGGACATCCCCATCACCATCTCTCCATCCAAAACTTTAAAAATGTGCACTTATATTTCTTTCTTTCTTCTCCCCCTACCTCCCAGACTAGGTTTCTCTGTGTAGTTCTGGCTGTCCTGTAGACCAGACTGTCCTCAAACTCAGAGATCTGCCTGCCTCTGCCTCCCAAGTGCTGGGATTTGTCACCATGCCCCATTAAACTTATATTTCTTATGTCTTTCTTTCTTTCTTTTTTTTTTTTGGAGGCTGTCCTGGAACTAGCTCTTGTAGACCAGGCAGGTCTTGAACTCACAGAGATCCGCATGCCTCTGCCTCCCGAGTGCTGGGATTAAAGGCGTGCCCCACCAACGCCTGGCTTTTCTTATGTCTTAAAAAAATGTTTTGGGGGATGGAGAAATGTCTCAGTGGTTAAGAACACTTGCTCTTGCAGAGAACCCAGCACCCACATGGCAGCTCACAAACACCTCTCACTCCAGTTTCCTCTGGCCTCTGAGGGCACTTACATACATGCAGGCAAAGTGTTCCTACACATAAATAAAAAGAAGTTAATTTTTGTTTGCATTCATTTCTTTATTGCATATATATGAGTTCATGCCACACCATCCACATGAAGCTCGGAGGACAACTTACAGGGGCTGATTCTCTCCTTCCAGGGATCAAACTTGGGTTGTCAGGCTTGGCAACAAGCACCCTTACCCACTGAGCCATATTGTCAGTCCAGAAAAAAAAAATATGTGTGTGTGTGTGTGTGTGTGTGTGTGTGTGTGTGTGTGTAAGAGTTAAATAATGTTTGGAAAGCATCTAGCGCAATTTTTGACATTAAATATACACCGTCACCAACATTGCCCACAGGAATAGTGCAATTCTGAATACTAACCCAACTGCATCAAAAGGCAGGGCTTCCAGGTAGATGCAGGCTCTAGCTCTCCAACTCCCTTGGAAGCCAAGGATTAAAGTGCACAATGACATGAAAGACAGGAGTGCGTGTGATTCCTGGCACTGTCATGGAAACTCTGGTGCCAGTGCAGAAGAATACAACCTAGGCCTGACAAATGTCATAGGTCCTCCCTGTGAGAGCAAACCGATTAAAGGCCCCCAGAGGGGTCTTTGTACCCTGGGCCTCCAAGAGTGCTTGGAGCTCTCGGCTCAGCTTCAAGCCCAGTTTCCAGGCTGGTGCTAAGCAGCAGCTCACTGTCACCATGGCAATAGATGAGGCCATGCTCTGGCAGAGAGAGCTCTCAGTAGCAGGGGCTTGACCAACTCGGTAGGGAAGGGTATGGCAGCTAGACCCCCCACCCTGCAGGACAAGAAGGGTTGGGAGGGGTCTTCAGCAAAAAAGGGGAGCTGGGCCCCAGGTAATAGGGTCAAATAAAGTCCTCTGTAAGAAAGATATTTTTCTATTTGGGACTTATTTCTGAAAATTCTTTACTGTTTAGCAGGTATGTAGTTAATGGCAAATCCTGGATTAAAAATAAGTCTCTGGGATGCTTCTTTGTGAATCCATAGCCCCTTCTCCTTGCTACTTCATCTGGTCCTTCCTCTGACTCGTGCCCAGCATTATCAGCTAACCTCTGTATTTGTCTTCGTGCATCCACAGCCCTGTCAACACACACACACACACACACACACACACACACACACACACGAACGCAGAAACCTGACCCCCCCCCTTTGACTTGGCCCCATATATTGTCAGCCTTCATATTCTACCCAGAATAAACACGGCAGCATAAAGAGCTGAATGTGGGCCTGGGGGCTGCCTCTCCCCATAGCATGTCCAGGCTTAGGAAACATGGGGTAGGCCAGGAAATCCCAGGTCAATCACCTCCAGGTATGAAAGGGCCCTTTGACAGTATGAGCAAATGTCTCTGTCCCTTAAAACTTACCACACCTGGGCTGGCAAGATGGCTCAACAGGTAGAGCCTCTTGCTGTAACACCTGGAACCTACTCCACAAACCCACCCTCTGCCCTCCATATACACATGTGTCTTAGGGTTTCTATTGCTGGCACGAAACACCATGACCAAAGAGCAAGTTGGGGAGGAAAGGGTTTATTTGGCTTACACTTCAGGATCCTGGAGGCAGGAGCTAATGCAGAGGCCATGGAGGGGAGCTTTTTTTTCCCCCCCCAAGAGATTATTTTTTTTTATTAGTTCAAATTAGGAACAAGGCTGCTTCACATGGCAATCCCGTCTCCCTCTCCCTCCCCTCCCCCTCAACCCCCCACTAGCCCCCCATCCCACCCCCCCTGCTTACCCACCCCCCAGGGAGGGTAAGGCCTAGGAAGGAACCTAGGCTCTCCCCCATGTGTCCAGGCTGAGAGAGCATCCCTCCATGTGGCATGGACTCACAAAGTCCCTTCGTACTCTAGGGATAATTACTAATCCACTACCAGGGGTCCCATGGAGTGCCAGAGTCTCCTCATTGACATCTATGTTGAGGGGTCTGGATCAGTCCCTTGCTGGCCTCCCAAACTTCAGTCTGGGGTCCACGTGCTTGGAGGGGAGCTTCTTACTGGCTTGCCTCCCCTGGCTTTCTCAGCTCATCATCTTATAGAACCTAGGACCACCCGCCCAGGGATGGCACCACCCACCATGGTCTGGGTCCTCCCTCAATGATGACCGATTGAAACAGTGCCTTGCAGCTGGATCTCATGGAGGCATTTCCTTAGCCGAGGCTCCTTCTTTTCTGATGACTCTAGCTTGTGTCAAGTTGACACACAAAGCCAGCCAGTACAACATGCAATTCCCTTGTCACTATACATAACTGAGGTTCTGAATATCATTTTACGGACTTAACTAAAAACGAGTATCTCTTATGTGTTTCTGTTGCTCCCAGTCTCCTCGAACGCTACACTTTTCTAGATTGGATGACTCTGAACAGGGATCAAATCAGCAGGTTCGGTAGTGCACAGCTGTAATCCCCGTGCTCTGGAGGGAGAAGTGGAGGAATCGGAAGTTCAAGGCCAGCCTTGGCTATGCTGTAAATTGGAAGCCAGAATGGACTACATGAGACCTTATTTCAACAACAGGGAGGGGAGAGGAGGAGCAGAAGGAAGGGAGAGAGAGGGGCAACATATCATAGGGCAACTTAATTCTCTCCATGGGCCTGTACTTAAAACAGTTTCTCTGTCTGCTGGAGTAAGTAGACTAATGGCCCCCAAAGATAATAATGCCCTAGTTCTATGAACCTATCAATATATTACCTTATGTGATCAAAGAGACACTTTGCAAGTGTGATTTAGGATTTAAGATTTAGAGATTGAGAGATTACCCCACAGGGCCCAATATGATCACAAGCAGACCTTATCAGAAGGAAGGAAGAGGGTCAGACTCAGAGAGGGAGGTAGAACAGTGGAGGCCAGGTTGAAGTGATCATGGACCAAGGGATGTAGGCAGCCTCAGGAGCTGGAGCAGGAAAGGACATCTCCCCTAGAGAACACAGGAAGGAGGATGGCCTTGACATTG